GGGAGGTGCGGGGGGGGATTGTGTACCAATGAGGGAGTTTTTCTTTTGCTTTTCAAGGAGAGGAGCAAACGGGGGGGGGAGGGGTTTGTGCGGGGAGAAGAGTGCAACAATGAATGAATGGAATTCCAAAATCTCCATAGATGTTCATTGAAATGAAAAATAAACAAACTAAATTAATAAAAAAAAGAATAAAAAAATCTAAAGTTTGGACTAAAGCATATATTCATGGTACAGGCTCTATTTGTGTTTCAAACTTTATATTCTATTACTTCCCTAATTTATAACCTTCAGTATTTCCTCCATTTATAGTGATATCACCTATTAGTCTGGTTGTGAGGGTTTGAGCTTTATTTTGAGGTTTAATCTATACTGAAGTCTTTATCCTCATAAGTAAATGCTTTAAGTCCCCTTAACAATCAGCAAGCAAGGTTTTATCACCCAATGTTGAAGGTTGTTAATGAAATTTTGTTCAAACTTGATAGTAGGTGATTTTTTTATGTTAGACTTTTTAATATATATCTATTAACAAAGAGACAATCAAATACTGACAACCTCATTGTTTTCTCTATTTGTCATGGTATCAGATGGATCTTGGCTGAAACCAAAGAATATCAGAAAGCTTTTTACTTCTGTTTATTGATTAATCAAGGTATTCAACTGAACAAGTCAATACAAATTCTGTATAACATTACAAGAAACATGGAATGCAGAATAGTTAATTGTGCTCATTCACACAGGCCAAAGAGGCAGCTGTTCAAACAGAACAAGTGGATACTACATAGCTTAAAAATAAGGCAAGGTGTGCATCATAACTGGATCTTTCAACTACACCTAATCTGTATGCTAAGTAACTAATCTTAGAGTAAACACCATCAGAACCCCATTAATTAACTATAATCTATAAACAATTTTTCTTGAGATAATTTGAATATACAGTTCATAAAATGTACATGATCAATGCATTTTGGTGCTACTTGGCTTGTGAATTTTTCTTCTCCTAGACATTTATATCATTATTCTATAGATAACTCTTGCATCAATGATTTAGGTACATTTTAAAGGAAATAATTGTGTGTGAGAGTGGTGCCATCAAATTGATCGGACCAAAAAAAAAGTATATGTAAGGGTCTAATAACTATCCTTATAAATGTGCAAAACATAGTTTCTAACAGAGTGCTTGACACTGTATTCAATTTAGGGTAGCTCTTATTCTTTTAAAAAAATTAATAATTTTTTATTATTATTTATTTTAATGAACATTTACAGAGATTTTGGATTTACATTCATCTATTGTTGCACTTTTCTCCAGCCCCCCCCCCAGTTCACTCTTCTCTTTGAAAAGTAAAATTCTTTCATTGGTATATAATCCCCCTGCACACCTCCACCCCCACCCTGAGTATACTCCACTCTGCAACCTTCATTCCAGACTCTTATGATGATCATAATGCCCTATAATATATTGCTTTTAAGCTGTTCTCTCCCTCATCCGTTTCAATGCAGTATACATAATTTATCCAGCTTTTCTCATTCTTACCCCAACCCTGATGTAAGTCCCATTCTACAGCAGTGGCACTATGCAGTGTTTGTCCTTTTGTGACTGAGATAGTTCACTCAGCATAATGTCCTCGAGGGTCACCCATTTTGAATAATATTGTATGAGTTCCTTGTTTTTAAATGCAGCGTAGTATTCCATTGTGTGAATATACCACAGCTTCTCTATCCGTTCATTTGTTGATGGGCACCTAAGTTGTTTCCAACTCCTTGCTATTGTGAACAAAGCCACGATAAACATGGGTGTGCATATATCTGCTTGGATGGCGGTTATGGTCTCTTTGGGGTATATTCCTAGCAGTGGAATTGCTGGGTCAAATGGTATCTCTATTTGCAACTTTTTGAGAAAGCACCACACCGTTTTCCACAGTGGTTGCACCATGTTACACTTCCACCAAGAATGAATAAGGGTCCCAGTCTCTCCACAACCTCACCAGCACTTGTTGCTTGCTGTTCTGTAAAATTTTGCTAGTGTTACTGGGGTGAGATGATCTCATAGTTGTCTTGATTTTCATCTCTCTTAGAGCTAGGGATTTTGAACATTTCTTCATGTGCTTGTTGGCCATTGGAATGTCTTCTTTGGTGAAGTGTCTGGGTAGCTTTTATTCTTATATAGCTGCAATGGCGTTAAGAAATAAAATGGGCAATTTCACAAACAAAATTAAAATGATAATGAAATGTTGTAAAAACCTGTACTTTGAAAAATTTGAAAACAGAGGAAATGGAAAAAATTCTTAGACACCCACACTCTACTCAAATTAACACAGACAGGGAAAAACGTTGGAATAAAATTTAAGCAGATAATAAAAAAAATCTTCTTCCAACCAAAATAATCTGTGGCCCAGACATCTTCCTCAGCAACGTCTATCAAACATTCAGAGAATTGTCACCAATTCTACTTAAATTATTTCAAAATCTAGAAAAAGAAGGTAACATTCTCAGATTCATTCTATGCTGCTAGCATAACCCTGATACCAAAACTAGATAGACATTACAAAAAAAAAAGGGATCATAACAAACCGTGGCTGACTCTGAGAAGAATGGGAATACCAGAACACTTGATCGTGCTAATGCGAAACCTATACTTGGACCAAGAGGCAGTCGTCAGAACAGAGCCAATCGAAACACTGCATGGCTCAAAATTGGGAAGGGTGTATGTCAGGGATGTGTCCTATCTCCATACCTTTTCAACCTGTATGCAGAACAAAATATCCGGGAGGCTGGGCTCTATGAGAAGTGTGGCATCAGGATTGGTGGAAGATCTATCAACAATCTGCATTATACAGATGGCACAACCCTGCTTCCTGAAACTGAGGACCTGAAGTGCTTGCTTCAAAGGGTCAAGGACTGCAGCCTTCAATATGGATTGAGGCTCACTATCAAGAAGACAAAGATTCTCACCACTGGGCCAAGTGGCAGCATCAGGATTGATGGTGAAGACATTGAGATTGTTAACAGCTTTTGTTTGCTTGGCTCCATAGTCAACACTCTTGGTACCAGCAACCGGGAAATCAAAACATGAACTGCATTGGGAAAGTCTGCTCTCAGAGACCCCTCCAAAGTACTGAAGAGCAATGATGTCAGTTTGGAGACTAAGGTGCACCTGATCCAGGCCATAGTATTTGCAATTACTATGCATCAGAGAGCTGGGCAATGACTAGGAATGATAGGAGAATTGATGCCTTTGAGCTGTGGTGCCAGAGAAGTATATTGACTATATCATGGGCTGCTAAGGGAACAAACAGGTTCATCCTGGAGAGGGTGAGACCAGGCTGCTCCTTGGAAGCAAAGATTCTGATGCCCAATCTGACACTTTTGGGGCATGTTGCAAGGAGGAACCAGTCCTTGGTGAGGGACGTTATGCTTGGGAGGGTGGAGGGACAATGTAGGAGAGGAAGACCCTTGATGAGACGGACTGATTCAGTGACTGGTGTAATGGGGGGGTGTGTGTCAGAGACAATAAAATTGGCACAGGATAAAGCAGGGTTTAGGGATTTTTTAAAAAAATTCATTTTTTTAAAATAAATGATTTTCATTCATTCATTGTTTCACTTTTTTTCTTTAACCACCCCCCCCACGCCCAGTTCACTCCTCTCTTTGAAAAGCAAAAGATAAACTTCTTCGTCGGTACACAATCCCCCCCTACCCGACCCCGGCCCTGCCCCCCACCCCCCGCTCCAAATGCACTCCACTATGGAACCTTAATTTTGGAATCCTGTGATAATCACAATATGCTATCATATATCACTTTTAAACTGTTCTATCCCTCATCTGTTTCAGTTCAGTATACATAATCTATCGAATTTTTCTCAGTCTTACCCCAACCAGTTTAGGGCGCTTGTACATAGGGTTGCTCGCTATGAGTCATAGGCAACTTCACATCACAGAACAACAATAATCATGCATTACTGAAGACAATTGTGTTAAATCTCACTTCAATGTAATATTAAAGACATTTTTTGTATTGTAAACCATAGAAAAAGATGTTTGTCGTACCTGACTGAAACTAAAGTCACTAGTTCTTTCTAATGTAGGGTTTTGTTTTGTTTCTTTTAATGGAATGATATCTTCTTCTATTGTACTTTCATCCATCCTCCAGTAAAATACATTCTAGCAACAGGTAATCAGTACTTCAAATTAAATGTAAGAAAAGCAATAAATATCTGGGTATTATGTCTGCCCTGCCCTTTCATCCCCTTTTATATTAGAATTCATGATGTATAAACACACATAGGCCTGTAAATGCTCATAAAGTGCCTTTAATTATTGTGTCCATTTTCATTACATTAGGTAAGCTTTTCAGCGAATCTCCAGTTAATGGTTAGCACCATTAAAAAGCCTGGTAGATAGACAATATTCCAGTTCAGCCAGCTTGTATTCTATCATCCTCAGGTTCATCATTATACGATTCTGCATGGCTATTGTGTTTGGAATACATTGCAAATGATAAGTTAGCTGCTGGATTGGCATATGCCTATTGGCAAATCTCCCAGTTGACATAGCCAAAGCTGGTATTACTAGTACAAAACGACTTGAAGTTGATGACCTTAAGGCAATTTTTTTCTGTAAGAGAAGGAAAAAGATACATTAGTGGCAAGGAATTGCATTGCCAAACCAAAGGCAGGTGATTCAAACTCACCAGCTGCTCTGTGGGAGAAAGATGTGCATTCTCCTCCGGTGTAATTTACTGCCACTGAAAATCCACTGGTTCTGCCTCTACGGAAAACAACTACAAACAGTTATGGATGTAGCCATTTTCAAACACCAGTAAATGACAAAGCTAGTTTTGGCTTTCAAAATGATATGGTCCTCCCTCCTCTGAGAGTTAGAGGTTGAATAATGTGTTGGATGACTATAATGATTTGAATATAAACTTTTCCCAAACAGAATGAAACTATTTCTTTTTCTCTCTCCCTTCATCTATCCATATATCTGTTGTTATGTGCCATTGAGTTAGAACCGACTTACAGCTGACAGCTCCGCAGCAGGTTTTCGGAGGCAGCAAGTCACACCTGAGGAGACTACCTCTCTCACAGAGCTGCTGGTGAATTTGAAACTCATAAAACATGAGTTGGCAGTGCAACTCCTTACCATTAAACCACCAGATATTAAAGTCAACTTTTAGTGTCAAAGTGCCATATTGCATTTCTTGGGCCATCCTATCTTTGAAACTTATTTACATTTAGTTCATTTGCAAGTTTAAATAACATCAGGAAACCTATATTTTCACCCGAATTATCTGTGAATGCCTAGAAACCTCAAATACAAATGAAAAATAAAGGAGAAAGGCAAAGGCAAAGATAGGGGGACAGCAGATGTGAGAGCCAGAAAGCAAGAGAATCAGAGACTTCATTCTACAACACACCACAGATGTCGAGTCCTAGGTAAGGAAATGGTGTGGGTAAAGAGTAAAGTCTGAGGCTGCTCGAGAGAGAGAAAAAAAAAATAAGGTAACCTCTCCTAGAATTTTACTTTCAACTCTTCCACACACTCTTCCACACACACACACACACACACACACCACCCCCCCACCCCCCCACGGATCTATATATTCATCCAGCTTCCACACAACTTTTACCTGATTTCTTTTCCAGAAGATATATGATAAAATGAAAAAAACGCCGCTCAATAGGAGTGAAAAGATATCCATAACACTTCTTCTGCTTCTTTCTTCTCCCTTCTCAGGAAAAAAAGGACACTGAGCTGGCAGTTAGGGACCAAAAGGTTGTTAGACAGACTATGGAAGCCTAATGCCAAGCTGCTGAGCGTTCTGGCACTCCGTGATTGCTACTAGCAATAGAGGGGAACGCGCCTGACCTTATATAGCGGGGAGGGCTTTTTGGCTTCATACTGAGCATGCACAAGACGACTGCCATACACCACAAATGTATGACGTAAAAAAGGGTAAGGAGGCAAAGCAGGCTGCCTTTGGTAAAATGGGTGCCCGATTACTTGATTAAAATCCTGAGGGCGGAAAGGAGGGGGACTGGGATTTCCAAAAAGCTGAGATACTGCAGACAAACGTGCAGCTTCTCAATCAATGTTGTGGTGTTGAGTATCGTCAAACCGACCCATAGCTCATCCTCCAGTGGGTTTTCAAAGGCAGTTTATTGCACGGGAGGAGGTAAGATTTAAAAGCTACTCTCCCCCCACCTTTTTAAAAAAATGTGTCCTTTAGACAACCACTTCATTTCCTATAGTTGGGGGAAAAAAAAGAAAACAAGATAGAAATACATTGTAAATAATAGGCATCTCCAAAATAAAATCCTTGCCGGGAAAACTGTACCCCAGTAGCTCCAATATTAGGTGCGTTGGAATTTTTTGCGTTTGTATCACTTTTTAAAAAAAACAATCCTTGTCCATACTTTTCCCCGTACTGACTTCATAGTTGTGTGCTACAGGTGTTTTTAATATCGTTCCTGTTTTTGCAAATGTGAAAGCAGATTAAGGTTTTAAATAAACTCATTTGAAACTCATAGCAAAAAAAAGAACTTGAGTCTATAACTTTGGAGCCCTCAGGTGAACACCCCATTCGCTCCCTTCTTCCTCCACGACCTAAACCTCCACTTGCTAATTTCTGAACATTAAGATGTAATGTTTTCTGCCCAAAGAATTAAGCGATGTACTTGGATTACAATTAATAGGTATTGATGATGGTAGTACTCATTGCACTAACCAGGCTAGAAATAAATTGTCAAAAAATTAAAGATGGACACTCAGATTAAAGACTCAAAAGAGCTAACCTAGTTAATGATTCTTGGGAAAAATGTCTCCTATTCATAGAGATAGAGAGATAATATTAATTTTCCCCCTACCTTTCTTTCCTAATGAGTTCAAAGCTTAAAGATTTCTTTATGAAAGAAATATTAAGAAATACAGTCGGTCCCCAGGTTATAAACAACACCCATTCCTGAGTGTAGTATGCCTTCATGAATTTGTAGGTAATTTTGAACAAATGAATATGGCTCTTAATTAACTTAAGTACAAGAAAAGGCTTGAAAACTTTAATTATTTAAAAGCTGCATGTGATGCACGTGAAGGAGATTATGATGAATTAGTTGTAAGTGAATGTAAATTAGTTTTTCTATCATCTGGTTTAGTCATTTCAGAGTTAGGAAAAATTTACATAACATTGAAGGACAAGTACACTGAATAGTTTTGTGTTTTGTTATTTTAAATATGTTCATTTTCAAAATGTTTTCTTTGCCAAAACAGAAAATGAGATATAAAAACAAAACAAACAAAAACCACACCAAAATCCAGAACAATTGTGACTTCAAACAATGACCTAGATTGCAAAACAAACAAACAAACAAACAAACAAACAAACAAACAACCAAACGCACCAGAACAATAAATGTGACTTCAAACAGTGGCCTAGGTTGCTTGGAAACAAAATAAGCAAAATTAGACACTTTAAATTTGGGGAATGCAAAATGACTATGAGATATCATCTCACCCCAGCAACAGTAGTAGCAAAGTTCGATAGGCTAGCAAACAACAAATGATGGTGAGGTTGTAGAGAGATTGAAACTCTTAGTCACTGCTTGTGGGAGTGTAAAATGGTATAGAAACTATGGAAGGTGGTCCGGCCCATTCTCAAAAAGTTGAAAATAGAAATACCATTTGACCCAGCAATTCCACTACTGGGAATATACCGTAAAGAAACCAAAGCTATGACTCAAACATGTATGCACACCTATGTTTATTGCTGCGTTATTAAAAATATCAAAGGAATGGAAGCAACCCAAGTGTCCATCCACAAATGATAGAAAAAACTATGGTACATTCACACAATGGAATATTACGGAGCATTGAAAAACAATGAACTTGTAAGACATTCTGTAATATGGGAGAGCCTGGAGGCGATTATGCTGACTGAAATATCTCTGTCACAAAAGAATAAATACTGCATAACACCACTGTTATAAAACAGGACCAACATGGGGGGAGAAAAATGGAGAAAGAATTGATAGATAATGAGCACTACATTATATCAAATGTGGGGAAGAACCAGCTAAAAGGTATATATGATTAGTCATTACATGTATGACAACAATCCAGAACAAAGGATGCCTTTCTGGGAGGCCTGGGGGAGATGGAAGGGAAGGAGGGTGGAAGAAAATGTGCAACAATTAAAAAAAAATTTAGAAACCCATTTTCAATGTAAAAAAAATAACTTTGGAGGATGATTTCAAGAGTAAATAGATTTATAATTCTATTTTTTAAATAAATGCCATGTAATTTTTACAATGAATACATATCTCTTTTGACAAATCACAGATTTTATTTTTCTTGAATAAAAGCTCTTTGCTGTGATGTTGTAGTTAGGTGCCATTGGTTCTACACTGATCAAGAGATCTGATTCAGCAGATCAATACTTCACCCAATCCCACACCATCACAAATTTCTGCATTCCTTAAACCCAGTGCTGCAATCACTGTGGCAATCCATTTCCTTGAAGATCTTCCCCTCCTTCTTTGATCTTCCCCCTTTCTAGGCACTATGTGCTTTTCCAGGGACCAGCTTCTTTGGACAACATGTTACAAATACGCAAGAAATCTTACCATCTTTGCCTTTAAGGAGAACCTTTGCTGCACTTCCTCCAAATAGATGCCCTCCCTCTTTTGGCAGTCCATGGAATATTGAATACACTTTGCCAACACCACAATTAAAAGACATCTTCATGGTTAGAATTTGTTTTGATTTTAAATTCAGTAAAGGTTTTACAAGTCATATTAGTTTTACAAAAAATCATTCATAGATATTTTGCTTTATAATATTAGCTATAATTGATTGTCAACTAATTATTTTTTGATACAGTGACTCTGTATACTTATTTTATTGCTGATGTTAGATGGATCTTGGCTGAAAGCAGGGAATACCAGAAGAATGTCTATCTGTGTTTCATTGATTATGCAAAGGCATTTGACTGTGTGGATCATAACAAACTGTGGCTGACTCTGAGAAGAATGGGTATCCCAGAACATTTAATTGTGCTAATACGAAACCTATACTTGGACCAAGAGGCAGTAGTCAGAACAGAGCAGGGTAACACTGCATGGTTCAAAATAGGGAAGGGTGTACGCCAGGGATGCATCCTGTCTCCATACCTTTTCAACATGTATGCAGAGCAGATTATCCGAGAGGCTGGGCTCTATGAGGAGAATTGTGGCATCAGGATTGGTGGAAGATCTATTAACAGTCTGCGTTATGCAGATGACACAACCTTGCTTGCTGAAACTGAGGAGGACCTCATGCACTTGCTGCGAAGGGTCAAGGACTGCAGCCTTCAGTATGGACTAAGGCTCAACGTCAAGAAGACAAAGATTCTCACCACTGGACCAATTGGCAGCGTCAGGATGGATGACGAAGAGATTGAGAGTGTTCACAGCTTCACTTTGCTCGGCTCCATAGTCAACACTCTTGGTACCAGCAGTCAGGAAATCAAAAAGCGTATCGCGATGGGAAAGTCTGCCATTAGGGACCTCTCAAAGGTACTCAGGAGCAACAGTGTCTCTCTGGAGACTAAGGTGCGCCTGATACAGGTCATGGTATTTGCAATCACTTGTTATGCATCAGAGAGTTGGACAATGACTAGGGAGGACAGAAGGAGAGTGGATGCTTTTGAGCTGTGGTGCTGGAGAAGGGTACTGAATGTACCATGGACTGCCAGGAAAACATTCATCTTGGTTTAAGCCTTTAAACCAAGCTCCTCCTTGGAGGCAAGGATTCTGGGGCTTCGTCTGACATACTTTGGACATGTTGCCAGGAGGGACGGGTCCTTGGAGAGGGACATCATGCTTGGGAGGGTGGAGGGACAGCGCAGGAGGGGAAGACCCTCTATGAGATGGATTGATTCGGTGACTGGGGTAATCGGGATGGGTGTGTCAGAGGCGGTGCGGTTGGCGCAGGATAGAGCAGGGTTTAGAGCTGTTGTGCATAGGGTCACTATGAGTCGGAAACGACTCGACGGCACATAACAACAGCAACAACAACAAATAAAATTTTATTTTAATTGTGATTTTAACAAATGTTTACAGAGAAGTTATATTTTCATTCATTCATTGTTGCATATTTTACTCCCTCTACCTCCCTTCCTCCTCTGCAGTTCATTTTTAGTTCATTTTTAAAAAATATTCATTTATTGTTGCACAGTTACCTACTACCCCTCTCCCCCATCCTCTTGTCATATATGTATAATGCCTAATCATATATTTCTTTTAAACAGTTCTTTCTTTCATCTGTTCCAATGCAATGGCCATTATCCAGCCACCCTTATCCTATTATTTTCCCAATCCCCCCCCCCATGTCAGACCAGCTTTATAACAGTGGTGCTATGCAGTATTTGACCTTTTTTGACTAAGATATTTCACTCAGCATGATGTGTTCCAGGGTCCCTTGTGTAATGTTTTACAAGTTCATGGTCTTTCAGTGCTGCAGTATTCCATTATATGAGTATACAATAATTTTCCTGTCCATTCATTTGTTGATGGGCCCTTTGTTATTGTAAATAACAACACAGCAGTAAACATGGGTGTGCATATATCTATTTGGATGGCACTTATGTTTTCTTTAGCATATATTCCCAGTAGTGGAATTTCTGGGTCAAATGGTATTTCTATTTCCAACTTTTTGAGAAAGCGTTCTTCCATCTTCTTTTAATGCTTCCTGAATCATTCAATATTCTGTCCATAGCATCCTTAAGTATTGCAACTCTAGTTTCTTTAGCTTTAGAAATGCCAAGCAAGTTTTCTCCTTTTGAATTTATGACTCCAGCTCCTTGCACATTTCATTATAATACTTTGCTTTGTTTTCCCAAGCTGCCCTTTGAAACCGTCTATTCAGCTCCTTCTTGATTTCTTCACTTTGCTTTTGCTTCTTGGTGTTCTAATACAATATTCAAAGTCTCTTTTGACATCCATTTTGGTCTTTTCTTTTTCCTCTGTCTTTGTACTGACCTC